GCTCCTCTGATGCTACTATTTTGGCCTGAAATGGGCACTCTCTCACCTGGACAGTGTTGAGCCATCTGCTTGATCAAATCCTCAGGGATGTAAATCTAGGCCTCCTACCCCTACACCTACCCCAACCCCAGCCCCAGCGCTACCAGTAAAAGGCCACCAGCTCTTCTGTACTGGCAGTACCATCAAGGGCAGTGGATGCTTCTAATCAGGAGGCTTTCACTGGATCCCTGAAGAGAGTTAAGTGGGGTTGGGAAGGGAGTCAGATGAAAGGGTGAAGTGGCTTTCAACTCCCTTCCCTGGCAGGTCATTGACTAACTCAACAGGGTTTACCTGGGGACTTTGTGGGTCTGGGAGACCTATGGGAGAATCTTGTTAAATCCTTGAGCCACTATTAAATTCTGGCTGCCCTGGGGATAATTGGTCTTAGGTGGCTTTTTAACAAGCTTAACTGACATCCTGTTGCTAGCAGGTGCATTTCTCATACTGAGCCTTTTCCAACCTCACTATATGTGGGATACCATTCTTTATCTCAGCACTGAGAGGTGGATACTAGACCTCTCACTTAATTGCCTTGGCCAGCCTGTTATCTTGGCCAGTCCAGTGAGCTCCACTAAATTCTGTCCAATATCTTTATTCCCCACCACAAACTTAGTTCCTTAATCATCAACTCCATTCCAGTCACCAGTCAGCATTTGTAGCTGAAAGAGTGTTTGTATCTTTTTAATCTTCAGCTTAGCTTCCAACCCTTTATCCTTTATCACAAAACTGTTCACTTTCTATGACAACATGATCTGCTTTCACCCATACCATAGCTCATCTACATCCATGCTTTTGTCACTTTTAGACCTGACCACTCCAGTGCTATCTATCCTGGTCTGCCCATTATCTTGCATTTTCCATAAATAAAGTTATCCAAAACCTTTTCACTCAACCTAACTTGCACTAAATCTTGTTCACAGATCATTCTGGTGCACACAGATCTATACTGGCTCAATCTGTCAGTGCATTTATTTTAATAATTCACATCTTTGTTTCCAATTCCTTCCATGGTATTAAGGCTCCTGATCTCTCTAACCTTCACTAGCGTTGCAACTCTTGAAGATCTCTGTACTCTTCCAATTCTGGTTTCTTATGCAACTGATTTTATTCACTCCATTACCCTCCCTAAACCTCTGCACCTCTTTGAAAGCTACCAGTTTGATCGTGTATCCTAATACCTTCTCAAATAACCTTACATTAACCTTTGCTTGAAAGCTGTTCCTGTCAACCATAGATAGTAGGAACTGCAGATGCTGGAGAATCCGAGACAACAAGGTGCAGAGCTGGATGAACACAGCAGGCCAAGCAGCATCATAGGAACAGAAAGGCTGACGTTTCGGGCCGTTCATCAGAAATGGGGGAGGGGAAGGGGGTGCTGAAATAAATAGGGAGAGAGGGGGAGGCGGATAGAAGATGGATAGAGGAGAGGATAGGTGGAGAGGAAACAGACAGGTCGAAGAGGCGGGGACGGAGCCAGTAAAGGTGAGTGTAGGTGGGGAGTTAGGGAGGGGATAGGTCAGTCCAGGGAGGACAGACAGGTCAAGGGGGCGGGATGAGGTTAGTAGGTAGGAGATGGGGGTGGGGCTTGAGGTGGGAGGAGGAAGAACAGGTTAGGGAGGCGGGGATGAGCTGGGCTGGTTTTGGAATGCGGTAGGGGGAGGGGAGATTTTGAAGCTTGTAAAATCCACATTGATACCGTTGGGCTGCAGGGTTCCCAAGCGGAATACGAGTTGCTGTTCCTGCAACCTTCGGGTGGCATCGTTGTGGCACTGCAGGAGGCCCAGGATGGACATGTCGTCTGAGGAATGGGAGGGGGAGTTGAAATGGTTCGCGACTGGGAGGTGCAGTTGTTTATTGCGAACCGAGTGTAGGTGTTCTGCAAAGCGGTCCCCGAGCCTCCGCTTGGTTTCCCCAATGTAGAGGAGGCCACAATGGGTACAGCGGATGCAGTATACCACATTAGCAGATGTGCAGGTGAACATCTGCTTGATGTGGAAAGTCTACTTGGGGCCTGGGATGGGGGTGAGGGAGGAGGTATGGGGGCAGGTGTAGCACTTCCTGCGGTTGCAGGGAAAAGTGCCGGGTGTGGTGGGGCTGGAAGGGAGTGTGGAGCGGACAAGGGAGTCACGGAGAGAGTGGTCCCTCCGGAAAGCAGATAAGGGTGGGGAGGGAAAGATGTCTTTGGTGGTGGGGTCGGATTCCACGTCAAGCAGATGTTCACCTGCACATCTGCTAATGTGGTATACTGCATCCGCTGTACCCATTGTGGCCTCCTCTACATCGGGGAAACCAAGCGGAGGCTCGGGGACCGCTTTGCAGAACACCTACACTCGGTTCGCAATAAACAACTGCACCTCCCAGTCGCGAACCATTTCAACTCTCCCTCCCATTCTTCAGACGACATGTCCATCCTGGGCCTCCTGCAGTGCCACAACGATGCCACCCAAAGGTTGCAGGAACAGCAACTCATATTCCACTTGGGAACCCTGCAGCCCAATGGTCTCAATGTGGATTTCACCAGCTTCAAAATCTCCCCTCCCCCTACCACATCCCAAAACCAGCCCAGCTCGTCCCCGCCTCCCTAACCTGTTCTTCCTCCCACCTATCACCTCCTCCCACCTCAAGCCACACCCCCATCTCCTACCTACTAACCTCATCCCGCCCCCTTGACCTGTCCGTCCTCCCTGGACTGACCTATCCCCTCCCTAACTCCCCACCTACACTCACCTTTACTGGCTCCATTCCCGCCTCTTCGACCTGTGTTTCCTCTCCACCTATCCTCTCCCCCTCTCTCCCTATTTATTTCAGAACCCCCTTCCCCTCCCCCACTTCTGAAGAAGGGTCTAGGCCCGAAACGTCAGCCTTTCTGCTCCTATGATGCTGCTTGGCCTGCGCTGTTCACCCAGCTCTGCACCTTGTTGTCTCCTGTCAACCATATTGTGATGTCCCATGGTGTGAAAGTCACTGCAAAAATCCATATTGTTGTTGCCTACTGTGATATAAACATTGAGATTTACATATATTTGAAATCAATTACTGGCAATTCAAGGTTGTTAGAGACACTTATGGAAATACTTTTAGCTAAACAGAAACATCCATAGTTTAGACAGGGAGACCTTTGGGTTTCAATTTTTACTTTGATTTTTGGGCAGTCCTGTGAAGTTCTCTGAATAGGATGGCCGTGTATACAAGTTTTCCTGAAAAATGAATGGCATATAATGAACTATGTTGCCGTAGACGGTCAGTCCCAGACAAGAAGTATTGGGATAAAACCCTGAAGAAGTTACTTAAAACTGAGCACATTTTTGCAGGTTTGTGATAGCTCCAAGAAGAAGCTATTTGAAGTCCCAATCTAAAAGTTGAAGACACAAATGACTTGAAACCTACTGAGGTGTTAGATAGTGTGCCTCTGGTGTATTTTACGAGTGCTGCTTTAGGAACAAACCAGGAGTATATTTTGGGCACTATACATTAGCTGTTTGTTTATTTTCACCTGGCATCAACCTAGGTACTGGAAAAGACAACTGCGGAAACAGCCCTGTCGACCCTGCAAAGTCCTCCTCACTAACAGCTGGGGGTTAGTGCCATAATTGGGAGAGCTGTCTCACAGACTAGTTAAGCAACAGCCTGACACTGTCATACTCACAGAATCATACCTTACAGATAATGTCCCAGGCACCACCATCACCATCCCTAGACATGTCCTGTCCCACTGGCAGGACAGACCCAGCAGAGGTGGTGGCATAGTGGTATACAGTCGGGAGGGTGTTGCGCTAGGAGTCCTCAACATTGACTCCGGACCCCATGAAGTCTCATGGCTTCAGGTTAAACATGGGCAAGGAAAGCTCCTGTTGATTACCACATACCGTCCTGCCTCAGTGGATGAATCAGTATTCCTCAATGTTGAACAACACTTAGAGGAAGCACTGCGGATGGGCAAGGGCACAAAATGTACTCTGGGTGGGGGATTTCAACGTCCACCACCAAGAGTGGCTCGGCAGCACTACTACTGATTGAGCTGGTCGGGTCCTAAAGGACATAGCTGCTACACTGGGTCTGCGGCAGGTGGTGAGGGAACCAACAGGCGGCACAGTGGCTCAGTGGTTAGCACTGCTGCCTCACAGCTCCAGGGACCTGGGTTCGATTCTCAGCCTTGGGCGACCGTCTGTGTGGAGTTTGCACATTCTCCCCACGTCTGCATGGGTTTCCTCCGGGTGCTCCGGTTTCCTCCCACAGTCCAAAGATGTGCAGGTTAGGTGGATTGGCCATGCTAAATTGCCCACAGGGATGTGTAGATTAGGTGGGTTATAGGGGGATGGGTCTGGTTGGGATGCTCTGAGGTTCGGTGTGGACTTGTTGGGCCGAAGGGCCTGTTTCCACACTGTAGGGATTTTATGATTCTATGATTCAACAAGGTGGAAAAACATACTTGACCTCATCCTTACTAATCTGCCTGCTGCCATCTATCCATGACAGTATCGGTAAGAGTGACCATTGCACAGTCCTTGTGGAGATGAAGTCCCGCCTTCACACAGAGAATAACTTCCATCAGGTTGTTTGGCACTATCACCGTGCTAAATGGGACAGACTTTGCATAGATTTAGCAACTCAAGATTGGGCATCCGTGAGGCACTGTGGGACATCAACAGCAGCACAATCTGTAACCTCATGGCCCAGCATATCCCCCACTCAAGCAGTACCATCAAGCAGGGGATCAACCCTGGTTCAACGGAGAGTGCAGGAGAGCATGCCAGCAGCAGTATCAGGGATACCTGAAGATGAGGTAACAATCTTGTGAGGCCACCAAACAGGACTACTTGCAAGCCAAACAGCATAAGCAGCAAGTGATAGACAGAGCTAAGTGATCCCACAACCAACAGATCAGATCGAAGCTCTGCAGTCCCGCCACATCCAGTCGTGAATGCTTGTGGACAATTAAACAACTCACTGGAGGAGGTGGATCCACAAATATCCCCATCCTCACTGATGGAAGAACTCAGCACATCAGTGCAAAAGATAAGGTTGAAGCATTTGCAGCAATCTTCAGCCAGAAGTGCCGAATGGATGATCCATCTCTGCCTCCTCCAGTGGTCCCCAGCATTACAGGTACCAGTCTTCAGCTAATTCGATTCACTTCACGTGATATCAAGAAATGGTTGGAGACAGTGGATACTGCAAAGGCTACGGGCCCTGATAACATTCCAGCAATAGCACGGAAGAGGTGTACTCCAGAACTTGCTGCTAACCTTGCCAAGCTGTTCCAGTACAGTTACAACACTGGTATCTACCCAACAATGTGGAAAATTGCCCAAATATGTCCTGTATATAAAAAGCAGGACAAATCCAACCTGGCCAATTACCGCCCCATCAGTATACTCTCGAGCATCAGTGAAGTGATGGAAGGTGTCATCAACAGCACTATCAAGCAGCACCTACTCAGAAATAACCTGCTCAATGACGCCTAGTTTGGATTCCACCAGAGCCACTCAGCTCCTGACCTCATTACAGCCTTAGTTCAAAAATGGACAAAAGAGCTGAATTCCAGAGGTTGAAGTGAGTGTGACAGCCCCTTGATATCAAGGGAGCATTCGACTGAGTGTGGCATCAAGGAGCCCTAGCAAAACTGGAATCTCTCCGGTGGGTGGAGTCATATCTGACACATTGGAAGATGGTCGTGGTTGTGGGAGGTTAATCATATCAGCTCCACAACATCTCTGAAGGAGTTTCTCAGGGTAGTGTCCTAGGCCCAACTATCTTCAGCTGCTTCAATGATCTTCCCACAATCATAAGGTCAGAAGTGGGGATGTTTGCCAACGATTGCACAATGTTCAGCACTATTTGCGACTCCTCAGACACTGAAGCTGTCCATGTTCAAATGCAACAAGATCTGGACAATATCCAGGCTTGGGCTGACCAGGGGCAGTGACATTCGTGCCATACAAATGCCGGGCTATGACCATCACCAATAAGAGACAACCTAACCACCAGCCCTTGGCATACAATGGTATTACCATCACTGAATCCCCCACTATCAACATCCTGGGTGTTATCAGAGACTCAACTGGACTCACCACAAACAGTGGCTACAGAGCAGGCCAGAAGCTAGGTATACTGTGGTGAGTAACTCAACTCCTGACGCATCAAAGCCTGTCCACCATCTACAAGGCACAAGTCAGGAGTGTGATGGAATACTCCCCACTTGACTGGATGAGTGCAGCCCCAACATTCAAGAAGCTTGACACCACCCAGGACAAAGCAGCCCACTTGATTGGCACTACATCCACAAGCATCCATTCACTCCACCACCGATGCTCAGTAATACCAACGTGTATTATCTACAAGATGCACTGCAGAAATTCACCAAAGATCCTCAAACAGTACCTTCCAAACACACGACTGCTTCCATCTGAAAGGGCAAGGGCTGCAGATATATGGGAGTACCACCATCTCCAAGTTCCCTTCAAGACATTCACCATCCTGACTTGGAAATATTGTGGGTCAACCTACAGCAGGAGAACTCCAGCAGTTTGAGAAGGCAGCTCATCACCACATTCAAGGGCAACTAGGGATGGGCAAGAAATGCTGGCCAGCCAGCAACACCCACATACCACAAATGAATAGAGGGAAAAAACGGTGTTTTGGAGATTAATGGGATTAAAGTTCTACAATGTGGTTAAAAATCTTTGAATGTGCATTACAAGTAATGGTTTGGTTTAGTACATTTTATCATTAATTCCTTGGTTAGTAAACGTTTGTTTGATTGTTGAAGCAAAATCTGCAGCATTACATGCTTATGTTTCAGTAAGAAACCACTTTGCTAAAACCAAAACAAATAAAAATATGATCTATTAAGCCAGGATCTGTCTGGGATCTGACATGTCCAATAACAAAGCCAACTGGGATCATAACGGTAATGAAATATTATAATCCTTGGCTGGAATGAACTATAAATTAGCATGGCTGCAAATATTACAATTCTTTCATGGAAAGTACTACTAAAATACATTTGCTTTCTTGGATGTAACAAACCTGAAATTAAGTTTTTTATTTCTTACTGGAAATTCTGTATTCCTTTCTTTGAAGTGACATTGCTCACCTTCTTCCCAGTTTTTTAGTGTAATCTCACAGCATGGTAGTGGAGCTCCAACACGACCAGTGGTGTAGTCAAATACTAAAATTAAAACATATATGAATTAAATGATTTTATAAATCTTTGTGAAGATGTTATAATACATTATTAAGACAGTTAAATATAGACTTGCTTTCCCAATCGCTGTCCTTCACTGTCTTACATTCTTAGTGTTAGGATGAAAAAAAGTATTCATTTCTTAAATATGTTGTAAAATCCTGAGTTGACAACCTATATTTCATAAAGTCTATCCAAGAGTATTCGATTAATATTTTGCAAATTTGAACTTTTATGAAAATGTTTTTGACAGTGAGTTTTGTTTTCCCCAAAAGGTTAATGGAAATGTCATTATCTAGTTTGTGCTTTGGTCGAAATCTTTCACAATGAAGCTGATGTGATAATTACACAAATAATGTACAAATTATTGAAGGGTTTTCCTGACAAAAGAAAACATTTTTAGCAAAGTCCAATTTGTTGTTTAGAAAAAAATCCACTATTCTTTCACAGCATAGTGAGTAAGCAAGCACAAATTTTACAAAATGAGTTAAAAATATTAACATTTTGTCTTAAGATATTTAGTCTTCAATTTACATTCTACATTGTTGCATCGCGTTCCTACACAACAGGGAAGACATTTGGTCAGTAACTTCTGAATACACCACGTGTTGACACAATTACTCACATTTCATTACCAGTAACAAGAATGGAATCAAAACTCAAGATTTTTCGGTTCTCACCATAATATAGCCAAGATACGCATCAAAACATGACACCTTTGCTCTTTGTAATATAGGTTTAGCAAAATATAATGTGAAGGTGCCAGTGTTGGACTGGGATGGACAAAATCAGAAGTCACATGACACCAGCTTATAGTCCAACAGGTTTATTTGAAATCACACAAGCTTTTGGAGCACAGCCCCATCATCAGCTGCAGTGAGACAGCAGAGCACACAGACCCAGTGTTTATAGGCAGAAGGATCAAGGGGAGAGCCTTGTGCATACACAGGATCTGCTCAGATGAGGGGGAACGTGACGGACACCTGGAGACATTGAAGGACACCCTCAAGAACAGGATACGTTGCTCAACTCATCGATTGCCAGTTCAGACGTGCCACAGCGAAAAACCACAACGACCTCCTCGGAAGACAGAGGCAGAATATGACCAATAGAGTACCCTTTGTCATCCAGTACTTGCCTGGAGTGCAGCAACTATGTCATGTTCTTCGCAGCCTTCAACATGCCATCAATGACAATGAGCATCTTATCAAGATCTTCCCTACGCCTCTGCTTTTCACCTTCAAACAAGTGCCAAACCTTGAACAGGCCCTTGCTCGCAGCAAACTACCCAGCCTTCGGGACAATATCAACCGCAACACCATACCACCCTGCCATGGCAAACTTTGCAAGACATGTCAGGTCATCGACATGGATACCACCATTACACATGGGAACACCAGCCACCACGTACACAGCAGACACTCATGTGACTTGGCCAATGTTGTCTCTCTCATACGCTGCAGGCAAGGCTGCTCCAAGGCATAGTATATTGGTGAAACAATGCAGATGCTATGGCAATGGATGAAAGGAAACCGCGCAACAATTGCTAGACAGGAATGTTCCCTCCCAGTCAGGGAGTACTTCAGTGGTCAAGGGCATTCAGACTCTGATCTTTGGGCAGGTGCCCTCCAAGGCGGACTTTGAGATACACAACAACGCAGAATTGCCAAGCAGAGACATATAGCCAAGTTCTGTACACATGAAAATGGCCTCAACCCTGATCTTGCATTCACGCCGTGCCACAGGTGACCCCACCATACTGTTCTGTATCTGCAAAATCTTCCTCACTGTCCGGTTTTGATAGCATCACTTTAAAATATTGTTATGGTTGCTCCACCTTAATTAGTTTGTACAAAGTTTTGAATTTGGCATGTGATTCCAGTCATAGAGACATACAGCACAGAAACAGACCTTTCAGTCCAAACAATCCATGCTGAACATAATCCCAAACTAAACTAGTCCCACCTGCCTGCTCCTGGCCCACATCCCTCCAAACCTTTCCTATTCATGTACTTATCCAAATGTCTTTTAAACAGACATCTGCAGAAGTTTCCAAGATGAGCAACTTGTCAAGAAATCAATGTTTCTCTTTCACATGAATTGAAGATATTTAAGTTAGTAGGAAAATTCTCATATAATTTTAAATTATTTTTTGGTCCTTATGGTTTATTTACCTGGTACTGAAGTGCCAACAGCTACAAATCATTTATTTTGTCTCCAGCACCACCTTATTCATAGATTTTTGTAATTATCTTTCTGCCTCACTTAATCCGATTATAGGTCATCCATTCACTGGTTATTCAGCTGTTGACACTTGACTCACCATTTATCATTCCTGATCACCTGTAGAAACTCATCTGACACTCCACTCACACCAATTGTATGATCTTCTGATCTCTCTGCCTATAAACTCTGGTCTGTGTGCTCTGCTCTCTCTCTGCACCTGACGAAGGGGCTGCGCTTCAAAACTTGTGTGATTTGAATGCAAAAAAGTGAATGAAAAATGCTGGAAGAAAAATCTTCATGGAAACACCCCATTAGTGAACAAAATACATCCAATATCCAGATGTTCCTAACTATGCAAATCACATTAGCACGAATATACCCTGTACCAAAACATTACTGAAATAAAGCTTATCATTTAAATGCTTGGAACAAGTGGTTGCAAGTTCAGTTGGGACCTCCTCCTTTCAAGGAATTGTTGTTAATCATAAAGAATGAGGATTCCATTGGAACCTCCTCTTCCAGTGAATTATTTAACTATCCACCACGGTTCACGATTGGATGTGGCAGGACTACAGACCTTGAACTTGATCTTGATCTATTCATTGTGGACGCACCTTTTATTACCTGCATATGCTGTTTGGGATGCAAGCAGTCCTGTGTTATAGTTTCACCAGGTTTACAACTTAGATATGCCTGGTGTTGATCCAGGCATGTGGTCATGCACTCTTTACTGAACCAGAGTTGTTCTCCTGGCTTGATGGTAACGATAGAGTGGGAGGTATGCAGGTGAAGAGGTTGCAGGTTATGTTTGAGTATTCTAATAGTGATAACCATAAATGTATCATGAATGCCCAGAACTGAGTTGCTATATCTGTTCAAAATCTATCCCATTAATGCAGTAAAACTGCCACACAACATGATGTGCAGACAGGATATTGTCCTCCACCAGGACAGTACAGTGGTCACGTTTACCAATACTTTCATAAACAGCTGAATTAACAGGGGCAGGCAGACAGATGGAGATGAGATGTTCTTTTCACTTGTTGGTTTCATATCACCCGATGCTGATTCAAACCAGCAGCTATGTCCTTTAGGACTGAACAAACTCAGTCATTAGTGATCCTACCAAGCATTCTTGGTAAAGGACACTAAAGTCCTTCGCATGTTGTGCCCATGCCACTCAGTGCTTCTTCCTAGTATTTAGCATGGAGAAATATTAATTTACCAACCGAGGAAGGTAAGCACTGTGTGATACAAATTTTCCTTGCCAATGCTTGACACGGCCATGAGACTTTATGCGGTTTGCAATCAATATTGAGGACTCCCTCCCATTTGATTATCATTGTACCGCCAACTCTGCCGAGTCTAATGGGACAGGTCATACTTGGGAATTGAGTTGGTTGTATCTCTGACATTGTCAGCAAGCTATGATTTTGAGACTATGACTATATGAGGCTATTGTTTGACTAGTCTGAGACACAGAGCTTCTAATATAAAACTAGCCCCCAGCTGTCGGAAGGGCAACTTTGCAGCATCAACAGACCTGAGTTTGCCACTGTTGTTTCTGGTATGTACGTCAATGATGTTGTGTCGTATTTCATTCCATTTTTGGAGACTTTAAGTTGTTTGCTAGGCCATTTCAGAGAACAATTAAGAGTTGACTATATTGATGTCTGTCTGCAGTCATCTGTAGACCAGACCAGGTAGGGAAGGCAAGTATTGTCCTCAAAAAGGGCATTAGTGAACAAGACATTTTCTTTCACAATAATTAACAATGGCTTAAATGATCATTATTAGCCTTTGAATTGTAGATTATTTTGAATCCAAGTCTCACAATGTAACATAGTGGAATTTGAGTCTGAATCTCCATAAATTATATGGGTCACTGCATTACTAGTTCAGCATCAATACTACCACATTATCAGTTCATTAGCTACCTTGGTTTCATTGAACTTTATTTTTAACGTTAAAAGCACACAAGCTTAGAGACGCTGAACAAAACAGACAGCTCCAGGAAGAAGGAAAGAAGGAAAGAAGGAAGGAAGGAAGGAAGGAAAGAAGGAAGGAAAGATTTTGTAAAATAACTAACCATCACTAATAGTCCCTGCTCCACAAGTCTCCGTTAATCCATATCCTTGTCCAACAGGGCAGCAGAAGCAGATGTTCATGAAAGTTTGTGTAGATGGTGACAATGGAGCACCCCCACACAGAATGAGCCGAGTTTTTCCTCCTAATAATGAACGTATTTTTCGGAAAATCAACCTATAGAAATAAAATATTAGAATTTCTTTCTTCAAGTCAAATATTAGATTAGACATGAGCAACCAACAAACTACTCGTCAACTTAGAAGCAATAACAAAATGGAATAGACAGATGAGAAAACTTTGCCAGCAATAGTAGAAACAACAACAGAAACCTTGTTGGCAACAGTAAAGCATGACAAGACAAGTGGGGATTAGATTTAAGGCGATAGAAACTGGGACAGTAGCAGAACATGTTTCTAATGAGTAAGCTTTAAGAATGATTTTGTAAATGAGGAACAAGTGCAGCAAACAGAGGCTTAAGAAGGGCACTGTCCTAAGCATCTCTGGCACCAATGGTAACATGGAAGATAAGGAAAACAGAGGGAATGGGCAGTAATGTATGGCAGTAAGATTCCATGATAATAGGGACTAGCAAAGATAATGAACTGGAGTTCATGCATGGAGCGATGGATGAAGAGACAACATGAGCAAAGGACAAGTGAATGAGATAAACTCCTAATTCAGATTCTGTACATTGTAAAAGTTAGGAAGCAAGTGAAAACAGAATTGGAAGTCAAATCAATAAATAACAAAAAAACATCTGAATATTTCAGTGGCTTGCTTTGATGTATAGAGAAAAGGTGAGGAATTTGGAAAGTAGAATTTGGCTTGGACTAGATACAAACTTTGGACCTTGATTAAGAACCAGAAAAATTTAGCACCATTGGGCCATGATTGGATTTGAGCAAACATCCATAAATGAGAAACATGCTACTGGGTTAGCAATTTTTTTCAAAAAATATTCATTTGTGGGACATGGGCGTCGTTGGCTGGCCAGCATTTATTTCCCGAGCCTAGTTGCCCTTGAGAAGGTGGTGGTGAACTGCTTTAGTCCACCTGCTGTGGGTTGACCAACAATGCCATTAGGAAGAGAATTCCAGTGACAGTGAAGAAACAGCGCTGTAATATCTAATTCAGGATGGTGAGTGGCTTGGAGGTGGTGGTGTTACCATATATCTGCAGCCCTTGCCCTAAGTGGAAGTGGTCCTGGGTTTGGAAGGTGCTGTCTGAGGATCTTTGGGTGAATTTTTGCAGTGCATCTTGTAGATAGTACACACTGCTGCTACTGAACGTTGCTGGTGGAGGGAGTGGTTGCTTGTGGATGTAGTGCCAATCAAGTGGGTTGCTTTGTCCTGGACGGTGTCAAGCTTCTTGAATGTTGTTGGGGCTGCACTCATCCAGGCAAGTGGGAAGTATTCCGTCACACTCCTGACTTGTGCCTTGTAGATGGTGGATAGGCATTGAGTCGTCAGGAGGGGAGTTACTCATCACAGTATCCCTAGCTTCTGGTGTTTTCTTGCAGCCACTGTGTTTCTGTGGTGAGTCTAGTTGAGCTTCGGGACAACGGTAACAATGTTAATAGTGGGGAATTCAGTAATGTTAACACTGTTGAATGCCAAGGGGCGGAGGTTCATCCATGATGGTCATAGCCTAGCATTTGGGTGGCACGAATGTCACTTGTCCCTGGTCAGCCCAAGCCTGGATATTGTCCAGATCTTGTTGCATTTGAACGTGGACTGCTTCAGTATCTGAGGAGTCGTGAATGGTGCTGTTCATTGTGCAATCACTGGCGAACATCCCCACTTCTGACCTTATGAAAGATAGATTGAAGCAGCTGAAGATGGTTGGGCCTAGGACGCTACCCTGAGGAACTCCTGCCAAGGTGATTGACCTCCAACAACCACTACCACCTTCCTATATGTCAGGTATGACTCCAACCACCAGAGAATTTGCCCCCTGATACCCACTGATTCCAGTTTTGCTAGGGCTCCTTGATGCCACACCCAGTCAAATGCACCCTTGATGTCAAGGGCTGCCACTCTCAGCTCATCTCTGGTATAGTATTGTGCTCTTTTGTCCACGTTTGAACCAAGGCTGTAATGAGGTCAGGAGCTAATTGGCCCTGGCGGAGCCCAAACTGGGTGTCACTGAGTAGGTTACTGCTGAGCAGGTGCTGCTTGATAGCACTGTTGATTGACATCTTCCATTATCTTATTCATGATCAAGAGTAGACTAATGGGGCGGTAATTGGCTAGGTTGGATTTGTCCTGCTCTTTACATACAGGATATACTTTGGTATCTACCCGACAATGTGGAAAATTGCCCACGTATATCCTGTATGTAAAGAGCAGGATTAATCCAACCCGACCAATTACCGCTCGATTATCAGTAAAGTGATGGAAGGTGTCACCAACAGTGCTATCAAGCAGCACCTGCTCAGCAATAACCTGCTCATTTGCCTTGGAAGAGGCAAAACACATGTGGTCTTGTTCAACTGTGAAATAACTTTGGATTCTTTACAACGTAATTTTATTCAATACTTCAAAGCAAAGTTTTAGTTTGATGTGAATTTTTAAAGGAATAAGTCAACTAATTTATATGAACAGCGAGCTATTTTTCACAGTTCAGTCTTTATCCATGAGAAGACAGATGCAAACACTGTCTTTTGGATGCTAGGAACGGACAGAATCCCAAGAGAGTCCCATTTGGGATTACCCATCCACGCACAGGTGAGAAGAGTTGTAAATGTAAATTGGACAGTTTTCTGCATTTGTAAATAATGGAAAATTTAGCAGCAATATCTGAACACTTAAAGAGATATCTAGCACCATAATATTGACAAATAGCTTTGATCTCAGAATGAGAATTTAGAAACCAGAAAATCAGTAGTGGCCAAAATGTTAAACTTTTGCCTTGAATAGGGAAAGCTGGTATTTGTGAAGGATACACTGAAACAGCCCGAAAAAAGCTTGCTTATTAGTTTTCTGATACCAAATGGATATATTTATGAGGTTTATCATCCTTCATGTTCTACATATTTTGCTGAAACTTATGAATTTGACTGGATGTTACTGCACTTGATGTTAAAACAAATCATCTGTTTAGAATTCGAAGGAAAATGTATGCATAAGTCATAACGATTAAGTCCTTGTAAATTTCCTGGGTGTTGCTGCGTGCCAACAGTTACAAGGCTATGGTACTTATTTTACATATGTAACAGGTAACAAGACTACTGAAATGAGCATCTAAAGTTGTTGAATCGGTGTGGCTATCTGTAGCATATCTGAATTCCTACCACTTTTCCTTTGGGATAGACTTCAGCTGAACCATATGGGACCAGTATCCTGGTGAACCGTTTAACTAGGGCTTTAAACAAATTATTGGGAGAAGGGTTCAATTGAAGGGAAGCTTAAAAAACATCGAAAAGCAACAGAAAGCACAGGTGCAGAGTACTGAAGAGACAAATGATAATCAAAGTGTAACAGAAAGGGATAGAAAACACAAGCCTCTCTATTTGAATGCAAACAGTTTTTCTAACAAGACAGATGAGTTGATGGCAAAAATAGCAATGAATAAACATAACTTGATAGGTATCACAGAGATATGATCGCAAGGTGACGACAACTGGGAACTTAACACTCAGAAGTGCATTCGACATTTGGAAGTGTAGACACAAGTGGGGATGGTGGGGTGTCATTGTTATTAGTATCACTGCAATGGTGAAGAGTGAAAAAGATGCAATAAATCATGATGTGAAATCAGTTTGGGTGGAAATAAAGAATAGCAAAGACTAGGCAAAGTAAAAACAGGAAAGCTGTTCCCGATGACCAGGCAGTCCTGAAACAGGGGTCACGCTAAGAATATGGGTAGGCCATTTAGGACTAAAGGATAAATTTCTTCATCCAAAGAATGGTGAGCTTGTGGAATTATCTGCCACAGAAGGCAGTTGAGGACAAAATACAATGTTATCAAGGAAGAGTTATATTTGGTTCTTAGGGCTAGAAGGGATCAAAGACAATGAAGTTAAAGTTGGAACAGTATACGGAGTTGAATGATCAATCATGATCATACCTGAATGGTGCAGCAGGCTCAAAAGAGCCAAATGGCTTAGTCCTGCTCCTATTTTCAGTGTTTCTATTAACTACACTCATTCCTGGCATAAAGAGGTTGATTTAGCAAGAATGAATAAATAGGTTGATTAGTGATTCATCAGTGTTTAGAAGAATGAGTTATAATCTTATTGAAAAAATACAAGATTTTGAGGTGCTTGACAAGGTGATGTTGAAAAGATATTTCACTCAATCAGGGGAATCTTGAACTAAGGGATTTAGTTGTGGTGCAAGGGGACACTCATTATGTTATGAAGGAACTACTTCTCAGACAGTGGTGAACATCTGGAATTCTCTAGCCCTATTTATTCTTGATTGTCTATATCTTTATTCTCTATAAGACATGATTATTTTTATATGTAATATTACATAACTGATATACATTTGTTAATATAAAGTAACTTAGATCATTTATATCCTACCAATCACAGATAGGCGTGCTACAACCCAAGGACATCTGTTCCATTTTGTAATTGTAAGCAATAACAAAGAGAGTCCGCTGTATACTATTCATGTCTTCCACTTTGGTCATAATATTCTTATAAATGCGATCCATAATTTCCTGTTGGCACACAAATTAAAAAGCAATTATTTTATAAATTGTTTTCTATTTCAAATTGTTATCTGTTTTATTCTTAGTATTTGACAAAAATAACCTTTTTTGGATGGAGGTTGATTCTAAATTCTTCAGCCGACAAGGCACAAGGACCAAGGTTTTCCAAGTCAGCTTATTTGGGTGAACAGGGTCAGAAAAGTACTTGACGGTCACGTCAAGTTAGGTTTTTAAATGAAACCATAAAATAAATAACATTTTTCACAGTATGTGCTGGATTAACTTAGCTGACAGCTAACCAACCAGCCACCTCAGGAAATATTTGAGTGCAGTTAATAAGCTAAAATCATTCAACAATTGAGGAGAGGTGAATGGGTTACAACCTTATAAAAGCAGGGTTAAAAGGCTTCAAAGCTGAGCTCTGAA